TGCATCCGCTATTTTAAAATGTTCCAATCTAAAAGGGAAAACCACTCTCAAATCCCAAATAAAAATTTCTCCTTCCTAAGATTAGCGCATTTCTCCCTGCTACTTTTCATGTAGCTGTTTACACGGGGCAAGGCGTTTTGTTTTCACGGAACTGTCTCCCATGAGAAAGAACACTAGGTTTGCGTACTGGCCGATGAGTTGCCCAAGGGCATGTACTTGTGTGAAGACAACATCTAAATGGAAATTTCTATTGATACATTTCAGCATATCTTGTTGTATTCCATGCTGTCATCGATGTACTTTTATTTCTGATCAAGATCTAACTCTCTTAGACCCTGACAAATATATGTCCACAAAATAAAGATTCTGAAAATCCACAGTGCAAATGATCTTATTACACAACCAGCTCATTTCTGAAGGTTCTCCCGAAAAGAAACCACCCCGCACCCCAAACCAGGAGCTGCTGAGTTGAGTCCAAGGCATAGGGCCCAGGGGTCGGAACAGAATGGGGCAGGCCTGTCTACGGACCCCCTGGTGTGGCTTCATGTCGCTAGCCTTTCTGTTGTTGTTGTTGTTTGGTTCTGTCAAGCTGGTTTGGACTCATAGCAAATGTTTAAACCAGAGAATTGTGAGGTTGATCCGGCACGAGCCTCACAATCATTGGTAGGCTAATCCCATTGCTGTGGCCCCCAGGAACTCACTCCTGGGTCACAGGGGTGGGCCTAAGTCAACCATGTGAGAATCAGGCTATCTGCAGTTCTAACAGGTCTGCTGAAACCAACCTCTCTCATCCCACTTTAAAGTCACTGAACCGTCTCCCTTGGCTCCAAACCCACAGCTGGAGAAGGCCATCACCAGTGAGAGCCTGGAGGCGTGGACCAGTGAGGACAGGAAGGAGCTGTACGACGTGCAGCTGTATCTCCCCAAGTTCAAGCTGGAAGAGAGTTACGACCTCAAGTCCATCCTGAGCAGTATGGGCATGCGCGACGCCTTTAGTCAGAGCAAAGCTGATTTCTCAGGGATGTCGCTGGAGAGAAACCTGTTTCTGTCCAATGTTTTCCACAAATCCTTTGTGGAGATAAATGAAAAAGGAACCGAGGCTGCAGCTGGCTCTGGGAGTGAGGTGAGTGTCCGGATTCGACTTCCCTCCTTGGAATTCAAAGTAGACTCCCCGTTCCTCTTCTTCATAAGACACAACAAAACCAAGAGCATCCTCTTCTATGGGAGGTTTGCCTCCCCCTAAACCCTGCAACTCTCTCAGTGAGCAAGCCCACCTAAGAGTGTCTCAAAATGTACCCGACGATGAAATATCACAACGGTAGTGTTTTGTCAGCTGGGCCTTTCTGATCAACCATTTGAATGCAAGTCTTGAGATAATGGATTCCAGAGATTTCACTATATTTAGTTAGAGAGAAGAACAGTTTTTTATTTACCATTTAAACAGCATTTGTCCCTACTGTGACTTTTATTTACAAGGGGGGGAGTCTTCAAAAAGTTCATGGGAAAATGGAATTAAAAGATAATGGAGGGAAATGGGGAGCTGATAGGGGGAGCTAGTACAAGAAGGAAGAAATATTCTAGAACTGCTTGTGGTGATGATTGTACAATTCTTTTAAAAATGACTGAACTATTGAAATGTATGAGATGTAAATTATATGTCAAACAAACTATTTTTTAAAATGGAGTTTTCCCCAACAGCTCTTTGAAGCCTCCAAGTGCATTTGCATTTCGACATTTACGCTGTTAAATCCATTAAATGCCTTTTCTTCTTTGAGCTACTGCTCCTTGTCTTATCATTGCTATTTATCATGTTTCACACACACATAATTAAGTGGAGAAAATAATTTACTGAGGTCTTATTCCTCAAGTGTATCAAAAAAGCATATGCTTAAAGGCTATCAGATATATATATATGTATTGCTATCAGATATTAATAAGAAAAGAATTTCTCAAGGATGTCAGTTGGTTGCTCATAAAAACGCTGTGGTAAATCATATTGCCCTTTGCTGGTCACTGAGTTACAAATAACTGGACTCATTAGTGGAGAAAATAGTGAGACCAAAGGAAGTACTGAAGTGAGTTAACAAAGCCCACATGGAAGAAACACACGAGCCTTTGCAA